ATTAACAAAACAGAGCATTTTCTAGATTTACTGCATGCTCCTGTAATGGAATCTCCCAAAACAACTCTATAACAAACTAGATTTTATCAGGGATTTTGAAGTGGGGATAATAGGCATGAGCTCTGTTGCTTTGCTAAACTGTTGTAACACAACAATGTTTTCACCACAGAAATAGTTTGAGAAATTTTAATTAATTTATATGCATTGTGTATTGTTTTGAAGCGCCTTTTCTTACCCTTTAACAAAAACATCTGCTCAGTGTTTCTTTCTGACAGTGCCATAGAACCTGTTTTATCATTAACTTATAGCTCACTGCAAAGAAGCCTTTTATCCCTGGTACTCTCTAGATGTGTAATTTCCATCACCCCCCATCAGGACAGGACAGGGATAATGTCAATTACAACCTGACATATCCAGAGGGCATCTCAATGGAAAAATAAATAAAATAAAATCATAGTTTTGAGATTCACTAAATACCACCTTTCTTTCTCCACTACTGTGCTATTTAACTTTCCTGTCATATATTTGAAACCTAGAATATGGCACTTAAAGCCTGCCATTGGATATCTTATAAATTATTGGTTTTTTAAGCCTTAGATCCTGATATTTAGATCCTTAGATCCTTCATCCAATATGCCCCACCCTTGTCTCCAATCTTTGTTCTTAGGCCAGGGATGTCAAACGCACGTTGTCACTCATCACATGACATATTGGGACTTTTCCCCCTTTCACTAAACCGGAGGTGGACGTGGCCAACACGTGATGCATTCAGCCCATGGACCATGAGTTTGACACCATTGCCTTAGACCTTTGTCCTTTATCAGACTTTTTGTCTTTTGTTCAACTTTGCATAATAAAGATTCCAACAGAAGGGAATACTTGTAGCTCAGAGTTGAAGTTCCTGGTACTCTCTGAACTTGGCTGCTTGCTTGTAGCTGTTTCATTACCCCACTAGTTGACACCATCAGTGTGAACTCAGATCTCCCCATCACTGCACCTCACAAGCCTTCAAGGTGTATTATTTTTTACATTCTTTCTCCTGTCTCTGTTATATAAACGGTAACAGAAGTACATGTTAAAGTTCAGACATTCTTCATGCCACTCATAGGACTTCATGGAAGGAGGCCACTCTTGACATTTGCTAATTGTGGCTCAGGAGAGAGTTACTTTTATGGTTACAAATATAAAGCAAGTGTACCTATTTTAAACTGGATAGTCTTGAAAGGGTGTCCTTTGCAAGCAGCACATCTAAGAAAAGAATAGGGGTGGAGGGAGTGTCAGAAACTCTATACTGTAATAGAAAAATGCTGCAGTGCTGTTCACTGTATACACACAGGCAACACAACATTGGTGAAGGAGAATCAACATAAAATAGCAACAATGTTCTATTTTGTTTCAAATATCAATTTGCTTCCATTATTTTAGACTCAAGTCAAAATCAGGAAATGCTGCTTCTCAAACTGAAAAGCCTGAGATCCATTAGATCACTTGCCTCAAAGTTATTCACATCTTAAATATTAATAAGACTGGAATTCAACCTGAATTGCGCTTAGCCACAGACCAAAAGCCACTACTGATAATAAGGATTGTGGAATACTACAATTACTTCAAAAAGTTTTCAAATTGTGGTTCACAAGACTTCTTCACAATGAGGAAATTGAAGCAGCAGGTTAATCCTTTCCCAATTTGAAAAAGCAATATTGGTGCCAGCATCAAGGGGAGCCTTGGATAACATGCCATCCCAGCTGCAGAAATACACAGACATGAAGCACTTCTACATCAAAATGCCAGGCTCAATCGTGTTCTTTTTTTTTGGGGGGGGGGGACTCCGTTCAAGCTCTTCTCTAAGTTTAAATGAAAAGGAAAATGGTGCCCATGACTGGTGAAGAGCGGAAAGTGAAAAGTTATGTTCCGGAAAGGAATATACTGAGAAAGCACATCCCCATTACTGTGGAAATTCATTGGTATAGAAACTTCACCTGTTAAACTTTGGCCTGCCCTAATAGTGACAGTAAAATAATAATAATAATAATGATGATGATGATGATGATGATGATGATGATGATGATGATGATGATG